TTGGCGCCACGCTCGTGCGCTTCGGTCATGTTCAACTCCACGACGAACTCCGCCTCGAACTTTCGATTATGTGCCTTGACGCGGTCTTCGGGGGACAGAGTCGTGCCCAACATGTCTTGGCTTTCCAGCTCCGCCATACCACCCAATTCCATAGACAAACTCGACTCGAACCGCTCAACATGGTCCAAGTCTAAGAACGTGCTGCTGCCGAGGAGGCTGTCTGCCCTTGTTGCAAGAGCTTGTGAAACCACTACACGTTGCCCCAAAAGCAACGCAGCAAACACAACGCGCCACATCACTGAGGAACGTCGGTATGCACAAATACAACAAGGTAGGGAGAATGAAGAGAACCAGTGAACAGTGATGATCACCGTGCTTGAGCCCAAATTGCGACTTGAGCCAAAATGGCTACGGAGGTGTTGCAGTTGTTTCTTCTTCGACGAGGGCTGAGTTCGGGTCGGGCGAAAAGGGGGGATAGCAAAGGGGGGGGGTGAGAATCAGCTCACGTAGCTGATTTTCCTGGCGCCTCCCGGCGCCGGAGGCGGCTATGTATCGAGGAATGGGCCCCTCGGTGAGGACGAAACTAGCTGCATGCAGCAAATTTCGTAACCCCCCCTTTCCCAATCCCCCCCTTTCGTCCGGCCCGATGAGTCCGACTGGGATCAACGGCGCTGTTAAATGGCGAGGCGCGATGCCACAGGAACTCGGGTGCCCATTGAAGGGCTCATGAAGAGCAGGGCTCGTTTTCGTGTTCGTCTTGACTCATCCGGCGAGGGCTGAGCCCGACTGGGATCAGCGGCACATGAAAGAGCGAAGCGCGATGCCAGGAGAAGCTCCTCCTCCTCCTCCTCCTCCTGCTCCTCCTGCTCCTCCTGCTCCTCCTGCTCCTGCTCCTGCTCCTCCTCCTGCTCCTCCTCCTCCTCCTCCTCCTCCTCCTCCTCCTCCTCCTCCTCCTCCTCCTCCAATCAAAGTGCGAAGCGCGATGCCAGGAGAAGCGTTACGAGGCTTACGGGGCGTCGGGCCGACACGCCCAGGCGCCACAGTTTGCGACGCGGGGACCTGCCCATCACCGCCGCCTGGGGCACCAAATGCTCGGGGATTTCGGCAGGCGGTGGCTATGGGCATACTCGGGCCCCGGGCCCTGGGTCGCACCGGCAGCGGGCGGCATTGTATGGGAATCGGAGTCGGAGTCCGAGATGATGGGGTCCTGCTGCGGGCTGGAGGAGGAGGGGGTGGGGGAGGGGGAGGGGGAGGAGGAGGAGGAGGAGGAGGAGGAGGAGGATGAGGAGGAGGAGGAGGAGGAAGAGGAGGAGGAGGAGGAAGGAGGGGGAGGAGGAGGATGATTGGGGAGGAGGAGGGAGGAGGAGGAGGAGGAAGTGAGGAGTACCTGGTAGGGGACGGACGGGGGCGGGAGACGGGAGCAGGAAGCGGGCACGACTTCGGGCTGCGCACGGGCAGCCCTCCTCAGGCAGTCCCAGCTGGCCTCAAGAGGTCCCCGAGGTCCCAGCAGGCCCCCGAATACAATCGGGTTGGTTTGAGTACCGTTTATCCGATCCCAGATCGCCAGCGGCGTGGGCTGGGCCCCACTGGCCGATTTACCCCCCTAGATGGGGATGTAGGCCGTTCCCTTCGGGTTTCGAGGGGTGCATCCCCAACTGGGGGGTAATTTGGTGGGGGTCTCGAAGGGGATGGGGATGGGGATGGGGGTCGGTTAAACGATACTGATGGATTGGAGAGGACACGCGAGAGGACACAAGACTTCCGATGGCCACACTGCCAGTGGAACGTAGAGGACATGGATCGCGAAACACAGGACACAAGGGTACCCTTGTTTGGGCAGGGCAGACCTACTAACCAAAATCGACTGTATTCCAGGGCGGGCTCAACGTTCAACCCTGGGGCGCTGAGCGCTGAGCGCCCCAGGGGCGCCGCCCGAGGCGGCGCCAGGGTGGTGAGACCGCCCCAGACTATTCGGGGGTCCGTTATGGCCAGCTGGTGCTACTCGGGAGGCCTGCTGAAGCCAGCTTCGACTACCTGGCAGTAGAGGCGGCTTACGTGGAAGCGACTTGAGGAAGCGGCTGCCCACGCCCCTGGCTCGCCGGAACACTCCGAGTGGAACCCCCTAAAACGAGCACGCGGCGGGGCGCCATACCCCAACTCGCCGCCCGTGCCGCGGGCGCTCCCGGACCAGCACCGTGCCGCGGGCGCTCCCGGACCAGCACGCCTTGGGGACAGCGCTCGGTTTGTCAGCGGTTCCTGAGGCTCCGCTACCAGTTGAGCAGGGACCGACCGTACCGGCATTCCTATAGTCCTACCACGACATGTTCTTGGAACCCAAAAGTGTTCTAAGAACAAAAGCCATGCTCTTAGAACATAAGCCCGATGCGCTAAACCAAGACAGTCCCAGCCAGACATGTTCTGAGAACATGCTGCGGAAGCCACAAAAGGTTCTTGGAACTTTGTCTGGTAAGGCTATAGGCGAGCCAGGACGCTTCGCCACTGCTTGAAGGGAGTGGCCCCCCAGGTGCCGGCCAGCTGCGCGCGCGGCTGCCGCCGCGGCTCCCCCTGGCCGACGTTGTCGACGCGGCCGGCCCACCGGGACTCCCCTCGCTGCTGGCCGTCGTCTCCAGCCGCGCCGGCACGAGGCGCCACGTGCCTGAGGGGGCCAGGGTTAGGTCGGGCATCCTCCTGCAGGGGGATTTTGGACGAAAAATCAAGAATGCCCCAAAATATACTCAAAAGTGGTAGATATAAAAAATACTCGAAAAAGTCGTCCCCATACTATTCTTGTGCTACTTTTGAATTTTCCGCCTGTAGATGGACATGCCCGACATGGGGCCAGGGCGTTGTGGGCACAGTGTTCGGTGCAAGCCGAGGCGCTGGCGCTTTACCGCGACACCGACGCAGCTTGGCTCCAGCGGGCCGCGCATGCTGCCCACATGATGTGCGCTGCGCCTGCGCCGCCGCGGAGGCCGAGGCAGCCGGAACGCCAGGGAGCAGGAAGCGAAGAACCTCTGCCGCCGCTGGCTGTGCTTCTCCTCCTCCCCCTCCTCCCTCCTTGCCCTTCCTCTCCCCTGCTACGCTTCCCTCCTCCTCCTCCTCCTCCTCCCCCTCCTGCCTCTTACGCAACCTCCTTTCTCCCTCCTTCCTACCTCACTCCTGCCCTTCCTCCCCGCCCCCCTCCTCTCCGGCTCCTTTCCACAACAAAACTTGCCTCCCTCCCCCCTCCTTTACTCCTCCTTCCTCCCCCTCCTCCCTTCCTCTTTCCTCTCACTCCTTCCCTACCTCTTCCTCCTCTCCTACTCCTCTTCTCCTCCTCCCTCCTCCTCCTTCGGCCTCCTCCTCTCTCTTCCTCCTCCTCCTCCTCCTCCTCATCCTCCTCCTCCTCTCCTCCGCCTCCCCTCCTCCACCCCCCCTCCCTCCTCCCCCTCATCCCTCCGCCTCCCCCTCCCTCCCCCTCCTCCTCCGCCTCCTCCTCCTCCTCCTCCTCCTCCGCCTCTCGATCCGCCTCCTCTCCTCCCTCACTCCCTCCCTCTCCTCCTTCCCCTCCTCCTCCTCTCATGTCGCCCTCCCTACGCTTCCCCTCGTCCACCGCGGGTCCCTCCGCCTCCCCTCCTCCCCCCTCCCCCTCCTCCTCTCCTCTCCTCCTCCTCCTCCTCCTCCTCGATCCTCGATCCTCGATCCTCCTCCTCCTCCTCCTCCTCCTCCTGCTCCTCCTCCTCCTCCCATGGGGGGAGCGGCAGTCGCTATGGGCGGAGGCAGCAGAGCGGCGCCCGACGGACGAGGGGAGCGGACAGGGCGACTCACAGCGCACGGCGCTGCGCCGACCTGGCCGCGGAGGGGCTCCGCTCGAAGAGCCGCGCGGCGCCGGCGCCGGAGCCGCCCGAGTCCGTCACGCTGGCCGTCGTAGGAGGAGGAAGAAAAGGAGGAGGAGGAGGAGGAGGAGGAGAAGGAGGAGCAGGAGGAGGGGAGGAGGAGGAGGAGGAGGAGGAGGAGGAGGAGGAGGAGGAGGAGGCCCAGCCAGCAAGCAGTGGCCCTGGATGGACAGCTCGCCTGCCGCTCGCGCGGCCGCCGCCGCCGTGGGGTCGGCGCCTCTGCCCTCCGGGGAGGGGGCGCGGGCGCTCCCGCGAGGGGCCCCGCCTCGGGCCGCGCGGGGCTCCGGGCGGGCATGCCGGAGCAGCGATGCGCAGCGCCCCGTGGGTGGCAGAATCTGGGGCGTGCGCGCCGGAGCAGAGATTCGGTCAGGCAGGCACGACAGCCTGCACAACGGATGGAACGAATCGCGAAGGCGCCCGACCACGCCCCCCGGCCCATGGGAGGATGTCCTAGGTGGGCTCCGACGGGCCTCAAGCGCAGCGGTGGCAAGAAAACCTGCGGGAATCTCCCCGGCCCTTTCCACGGACTGTCTGGCTTGACCTGAAAGGGGTCTTCGAATTTGATCCCCATGGCTGCATTGCCCGGAGGCAGGATATGTCGTGTCCTTGGGTTGTACACCAACATGGTACACCAGACCTCTGGTCCCACCAGTGGGATTAGGGCGCCCCTAAACCAGACCACTTCAAACTCCTCCTCCTCCTCCTCCTCCTCCTCCTCCTCCTCCTCTTCCTCGTCTTCCTCCTCCTCCTCCTCGTTCTCCTCCTCCCTCGTCCTCTTTCTCCTCCTCCTCCTCCTCCTCCTCCTCCTCTTCCTGGTGCTGGTGCTGTAGGGATGAAGATCCGTGCTGGATGCTGTCAGCCCTCCTCCTCCTCCTCCTCCTCCTCCTCCTCCTCGCTTCGCCTCGCTCCTCCTCCTCCCTCCTCCTCCTCCTCCTCATCTTCAATCCTCACATCATCCTCTTCCTCCTCCTCCTCCTCATCCGCCTCTCCTCCTTCGCCTCCTCCTCCTCCCCCTCCTCCTCCTCCGTCCTCCTCCTCCTCCTCCTCCTCCTCCTCCTCCTCCCCACTCCATCCTCCTCCTCCCATTCCGCCTCCCCCTCCTCCCACTTCCCCGTCTCCCGCCGC